ATTGCCTGTCATGGCCTCGTCGCTGTCTATGGGGGAGAGGGACGAGTTTCTGTTTAATACTGGAACAGTGGACCAGCCCATTATTTATCTTGTACATCATGGAGAGCCTGGATTGTCGTCGTCGTTTCTCCAATTTTGACCAGCCTATTGTTTCTAGCATGCTGCCAACACTAGAGGTATTCCTGTAGCGGTTTAGGACAAAGCATGCTGCTCGTCGCTGGACCGCCTCCAACCTGTATTTATATATTTATTTATATTAGATAGATAGGACCTACATTTTTAGGGGGGGGGGGATGTATAGAAATGTTGACATAGTTACTAAGGGAGGTCATTGAAAGTTTGACAGTTGCTGACAAAGGGGGATGGTCAAAAATTGCTTTACAATAGTTGACGCCCCCTAATTCAAAAATGTGTATTTATGTAATATTTGGGATATTAACATTTTTATTTGTGGAATTAAGCTTCCTGAACAGGACTTGCAATCTAATGACTTAAACTATAATAATAATAGGCCCTATATACTTAACATTGACTGTGTGTACATAAAACACAGACTATAGAATAACCATTGAGTCCATTGCTAAAGGAATGGGGCAGTATCATAGAACTGGCAAGCCAATTACATACTCACTGTTGAATATAGTAGCTCTGTCATCTTCAAATGTGAGGGATGAACTAAAATTAGATACTGATAACTTAAGATGGATAGACCATCTAAAAATAAGCATACACAAATAAATTTAAATAATGCTCTGTACTGAACTTCGAATGATCATTGACATTTTTCACAAATGCCACTGAATGTGAATAACTTGACTTTTTTAATCATTAATATTTAAGTATAAATTGTGTAAATTATAGGCTATCTTTTCAACCACTATTCATAATATATAACTTGTAATTGAACATATTGCACACATTTTTTAAATTAATTAATAACATTATTGGTTACATTTTAATGACATTTAAGTTGGAAATATTGTATTTAGGATGAATGTTACACTGTAAGAATTCGAGAAGAAATAGCACTGAAAAGTTACCCAAATCAAAAAGGACAGAAAATTAATGCACAACAATGAATCTTTGGCGGATGGGCACAACAGTAGACACAGAAATTAGAAATGCAGCATAACAAATCACAGCGTTATGTTATACCAGGGAAAATACAAAAAAGCTAGGCTTCACGGTACCCATATCTTTTTATATTTTTTTGTTTATTAATTTTGATTTAACCCCCAATATACGAATTATTCAAAAATACGATACTATTACGAAAATAAACGATTCGAATATGGCCTGCCTTCAGTAACAGGAAAAAATATGCCTGGTTGAAAATTAAATATATCTCTATGGTACTAATCTTGCTCGCTCCATACCAAATGTACTAAATTATAGGTTGTTGTTTTCATTAAAGTTAGCAAATGCACATTATTCAGTCACATTTTAATTTATTTACAATTTTTAAAAAATCAATCCTTTAGATACCTTGATATCATCATATGTCATGTAATTGGAAATGTTTTTGGTATATCCTAGTAGACTAAGTAGAAATATGGGCCACATATCCGTTTGTGGTAAATCTAAATCACATGATAGTTAAAAATGGAAAATAATAATAAAAATAACAAAGTAAGTGACGAGAAACCTAATGGATTAAATAACCAAGATAAAGTACTAGGACAAAATTTCAGTTTAGACGAGTCACTGACAGCTTTGTTAGCCTCAACCCTTATAGCCTCAGAACCAGATGATATAAACGATATAGAGGAAATAGCTGGAGGTTTGTATAAAGTATAAGAGTATAGCCAGTATTATAGGCATAGGCTACAGTGTAGGCTACAGTGATTCAGTACAGTACCGCGACTGATGACTGAATCATTGTAATTGTTGAGTTCGAGTCATTTCATTCATTGTCACATATGAGTTATAAATTAATATTGTTAAATATTATTATTATAAATGTATCTTATGTATAAAATCAGTGTATATATTTTTTTTAAATATTTATATGGGGCGCCCCCCCCCAACTCATAAATGACGTCACTCGTCTAAAAAAAGGGGGGGTGGCACATTTTTTGTTACCTGGCAGGGGGGGGGGGCTTAAGCATTGTTACGTCAAATGAAAAACGGAACATTGTAGTAAAGAATTGCACTAATAACCTTAAATTTTAAATACAGACATTTTTAGCATTATTCTTTTATACAATTATAATTATTTTATTTTTAAACCATCATCACTGAGAGAATCATTACAGGTATGCAAGGTCAGAGAAATGGGCTCTGATCAAGTTACAGGACGCCAGGAAAGAGGAGAATCGGGGTGTAGTTACAATGACAGTCATCTTAGTAAAGTAAATGCTCTAGGGCAGGGATTCTGAACTTTTTTGCAGTGCTGCAGGCCCACTCCGTTTTAAACATCCCCCACCCCCAAACCATATAAATTATATTGTAATGAAATTAAACTTAAGTAAATAATTAAGTTTTTGTAGTTTTATTTCTTTAATTTGCTTTTTATAAACAAAGCAAAAAATTTCCAATACAATAAGTAATGGGTCAACAAAATACACCAGAAAAAAATTTACTGCTGCTAATCAAAATGCACAAAAACTTCTTTTTTTTTAAAAAATTGCAACAACTAGCAATGGGAGCAAATGCAGTTTTTTTTAACTTCCACACCTCAGCAGGGCTGGGGAAGTACTTTTACCCCAGTTTAAGAACCACTGTTATAGTGAAATTTTCTGACAATTTGATATCCATTGGAGGTGAATTTCTTAAGGGTTTGTATTGTAAAGGACAGTAGTGGACATAGGGATTTTTTATTTAGGAGGTTGGAGGGGGGTCTAACTTTTTGTGACAATTTGTGATTTATTTGTTTAAACATTAATATAATAAACTATTTTCTTTTTAAATCAATCAACAACAATGAAAAAATTAGATATCCTTGTCGCTGTTGGATTTCATTAATGTTGCTTAATGTCGTCATCTTAAGTAAAGTGTTTATTTTCAGAAATTACACAGATTTTAAAAGATGTTTTTTTTCTTATTATACAAAACTTTAACCCAAATTTTTTTTTTTTTTTTGATGAGCGGAAAAATAGTTATATTTATATCTTTGAAAAAGCCCCACTTTAGAAAAATGGTCACTATCTATTCATTCGCTTCATAAATCTAAGGGAATTTTTCATTTTTGTGCAGGAATCCAAATTCACTTGCTGATTTTTTAAGAATTCCATATGTGTTGCATGTTTATTTGAACAGAGCATTACATAGTTATATTGGCTTATTCAATTCTTATCTATATTATACTGGTACTATTATAAATAGTATATCTACTTAGCATTAGCAGGCCTACTATTAATACTTATTTTACCATAGTAAAATATACCATATTCTAAAGACACAAACTTTTTTTTTCATCTTCAGAATATTCTGTCTTGAATAACACAATAGATGAACTAAACAGTTATTTAGACAGATGGGATCAGCGCCATGATCTGCTTCGAGCACAGATTAAGGAAGTGCTGAAAGAAAATCAAGAGGAAGAGAGAGTCAAATCAGAAGAAAGTGGTCATGAAAACTCTGTTGTGACAAAATCTAAAAAAGACGATTCCAGTTCATCCGAAAAATGTTGTGGAGGTAAACAAGATTCAGAATAACAACCAGATTTAGAAGTGGGGGGGGGGGGGGGGGGGGGGGGGGGGGGGGGTTATCATGGAGGTGGGCTTTTACAAAATATTAACAACTAATTGTTACAGTACAAAACGTTATCATGGAGGTGGGCGGACCTGAGTTACCAAGATGAGCTTTCTTCTTTCTACAAAGAACATGTAACCTGGATGAGAATAAATAATGTACAGTATTCAATTACAGTATGGTACAGATTATATTATAGTATAGAGAATTATTTATATGCACATATGTATACATGGATTTAATCAGCAACTTCATCTATACCACCAGACATATCATGTGTATTTGAACCATTGACTTTATCATCAAGTTTATCTATACCAGACATATTATGTGTACCATTCTCATTGACATTATCATCAACTTTGTCTTATACTTATACCAGACATATTATGTGAAGCGGTACCATTGACTTTAATTCTTTAATCATCAAATTTATTTATACTGTATTTATATTAATTTAAATGTAGAGAATTAATTTAAAACTAATGACACTGCTTGAATCCTGATGAACATTCCTCAACTATTCTTGTGATTATTACTTTGTGGTGACCAACAACCAAGATTATTCCTAGAAATTGAGAAATAGTAATTGGTAATAGTGGTAAAGACTGACCAGTATCAATATTTTATAACATTATAGTTTTTTCTGCATATCTTGCATGATTATTTTTTGAATTAAATTATATTTCATTGCTCATCAGAAGAATTTTGTTGTTGTTATCATTTATAAAATTTCCCCCCACAAAATTAAATGTTTCCTTTTAATGTTACAAAGTTACCTGTTTTGTACAAAATATTAACAACTAATTGTTACAGTACAAAACGTCAGTGAAGTTACTACCAACGAGACTGATAATTATTACTGGTACCGGTGTTGTGAATAATATTGAATTTCTAAAATAAAAGGTGGTACCGTACCAAGTACTGGTATCAATATCAGTCTATAAAAATTCATATTTTTACACACACAAAAAATACCCTAAAATTTCTGAAGTTCTCAAGTGACCAATGGCATATTGTTAGTTGTTAGGCAACTATAGGTTGAAAACAACTGCTCTACAATATGTGGCCCCCAGTTTGGCGACCTCTAGTACATAGTATATATAGTAATAGGGGGAAATGCGAAAATCATGGGCGTAGTGAGGGTTACTGCGAGTTAATTGTTATGAAAGAATTTTCTTCTGGCAACACTGCATTCAGTCAGTGTATTAATAGAGAAACACCCCCCAACATGTTCTGGTTACTTGTGGCAAGCGTAACTGAACATCTAGTCTTGTATACCTCTCTACTTTAATTAACCTGGTCGCCTATTTATCTACTGCTCAGTGGCATCACTACGACTGATTTTAAAAAAGAGCAGTTAACGCATGCTGACACCCCCACCATACCATACTTTCCCATGGACCTTCCCCAAGTCTGTCTGCCCTGGTGTCTTCTTGCTTTGGTGCCAACCTACTTTGGTAGTACGGTACCCTACTCTGGTGGCACAGTGGTCTGTAAAGCCTGTTCCCTCTGGCACCTGCTTTTGTATTTAACTTTAACTTAGATCTGTTACTGTTACCAGTACTGTTGTTATACTTTTATTACTTTTAAGAAAAAGTCTTGCTCGAGCTCTACTTTCCCTTTGGCGTCACTCCTTGAAGTCCTTGTGAAGGTGTCACCATCCCTGCACAGCCAAGAGCTGCATACGCAGGCTTTCCAGATGAGGCATGAAGGGGCCTTTTTGCAGCAACCCATCTTAGGAAAAAGTATTTTCCATACCGGGTTCCCAAGGACAATAAAGCAAAGAAAAGAACTATTGAATCCAGTAGCCAGTACCCAAATTTGGGGTCTGTTGTGAACTAGATTGTTGTGAATGTGTGGTTTTGGTAGGGAGGTGGAGTTGTTGATCGTGAGAGTGAGAGTGTTTGTAAGTCATGAGGTCAGAGCGTGAAGTTGGTTCGTGTTGTGAGCTTTAGTGTATGCTGAGTGTTTTGTTGGGATATAATATAAAAGAGCAGTGTGTTCAGTGTTAGTTGGTTGAGAGTTGAGTAAATTTGAGAGTAGAGTGGAGAGTTTGATAGAGAGCCAGAAAGAGGAGGATAGTTTTTTTTAGAAGACTCACTGTAGGGCTTGTCGCCTGAACATAATATTTTTCTGCTGGATGAATTATGTAGCAACTGCGTCGTGTAACAAGTGGATGTTTTAGGTACGTGGAATTAAAATGCATAATTTACAATGAACTATTCAGTGTTTGAGTTACTTGGCCAAGAGAGAGACGAGAATTAACCAAACAGGTCTGACATAAGGTTAGACATCAACTGAAGTATTTGCCATCGGAGGTAATAGACCAACGAAATAATGCCGTAACTAAGGTCATCCTCAAACTCAAAATACCGGTATGTTCCGCTCGGGAGTGGGAAGAAACTTACAAAAGTATGACTGTTCGTGACACGGTGATGAGCGGGGTTGGAGGCTAGATAATATCTATAATTATATAAAGTCGGTACGGTACCGGTAGGCCTATATAAAAGCTGAAATGGACAGTGATGTTCAAGTTAGTTCAACTTTAGACTATTTCGTTAATAGTGCCGATAAAGTCAGTGGCGTATCAAGGGGTGTGCAGACCGCACCAGGTGACACTTCTCAGGGGGTTGACACCAAATTGAAAAATTGCATATTTACAGAGCACACATAAAGGAATTTTATAAAATAACTGATCTTACGTCATTTTCCACACATGAAACCAATCCAAAAGCTTGCTTTATTAAAAGTTCAAGGTTGAAGCGTCTGAAATGAGGTGATTTAAATCATATAATTATAATTAAGGTCAGAAAAACACTTTTAAATAACTGATCTTACGTCATTTTCCACACATGAAACCAATCCAAAAGCTTGCTTTATTAAAAGTTCAAGGTTGAAGCGTCTGAAATGAGGTGATTTAAATCATATAATATAATTAAGGTCAGAAAAACACTTTTTTTTATTCACGAGTATGCTTTACTATTTAAAATAAATACCGGTACCCGGTATATATAAGAATGAGCTAGGCTGACCGAAACACCGAAAAAACAAAAAAAGATTCTTAAAAAACGACTATAGTTATTTTCTATTGCTTGACGGAAATCGAATAAATTTAAATACGCAAAAATATATATATCCGCTTTTATTTTAGTCAAAGTTTAAGAATTATTATTACCGGTATAAGTTACAAATACACTTTAAGTAACAAATATGGAACTATTCTATCCGAATGTAAAAGTTATGAGATAAATTATTACCGGTAATAAAAACAATTAGTATCTCAGAATTGCATTGTAATCACATTATCGGGAAAACTCAAACACCTTTTATGTTTTTTTAGTGCGTTTTAGTATGTTGTTAATATTTCGAAATAAAAATAACATTAATTTTAATAAATACGCAAATGACGTCGTAGTATAGCGCGAATTGCTTATTTTGGCCATAGCCGATATGGGCCGTCCTTAAGTACGTCACGCTATTTTTGACAATTCCCCCCCTCCCCCCGTCACAAATCTCGGACCCCCTCCCTAAAGTACGTCACACTTTCGAACAAATTTGTTTTTTAATTAACACCTAATTAAAATTTAATCTAAAACATACTCTAATTCACTATTAAACTGTATTAAAATATAAAATTTCCACTTAAAAAAACTATCACACTATTAAAATTAGGCCTACTTTAATAGTAGAATAGTTAATTGTCAACAGTTGTCACAGTTATTTATTGAAGCTGTAACTCAATATAGTAATAGATATTGAAATTCAATTTGAAAAAAAAAAATTGCAAAAATTAGACTGCTGCTTTTTCATTTTCAAAAGGTGAGGTCAAGTTTCAGATAATTTCCGATTATGCAATCTTTTTACACAGGATGAGAAGTAAATTAGCGAAATTTGACCTCACACAGTGATTAAATAATAAAAAGGAAACAAAACAATTTAACTAAAAAAAAAAGACTAGATTGAAAAATTATGTGACAAACTCTTGTGCTATATTGAATCTGTTTATTATGGGCATGTGAATTATGTTTAATTAAAAAAATATTCACTGGACATCATCCATCCATGGTGAAGTCGAAGTGATGTGGTCATCCATAGTTACGACTGGCATCAATCTTTCACCATCATCGTTTCCTGGAACTGGAAGGATAATTGCAGACAGATCAACTTCATCCTCATATAGCCAGTCAACATCCTCTGAATGTGCATTTTCTCTTCTGGCAATAACTCTGTTATAGTTATAGAGAGCTTGTTTACATAATATTTCTCGTGTGTGCCCTCTGATTGACCCCGCATGAGACGCTGTGTTCACAAAGGGGTGTGGCTTAGGCCTTTGAAGTATTCTTATTTACACCGCCAGCCACTAAAAATAATTAATCTGTTCCAAGTAGTGTTTTGTAGAATAAACGGGATTTTTCTCGAAATGTCATGTAGCTTGTAGTAGGCAGGGCTTAGGCGTCGGTAGATCCACCTATATAAGGGATTGACAGGCACGACGAGACGGAGATTTTTCACATAGATTTTCTTAACATTACGAGGCGTGTTTTATTCTTTGTGTATTTGTGTGCTCCTACTTATATGTGTTTATTTCGCATTATTTATTGGCATCATTATTTCTAATGGTATTAAATGTGTACCGGTACGAGATCTACCATACTGTAAGTTGAAGATTGTAATTTTATTTTATTTTTGTAATTATCTTAAGAAATAATAAATCTTAATAAATTGTAACTAGAAACTGTTTTGGGTCGTATCTTTAATTAATATTGTTGATTCTATGGTATCGTCCTTTGTTAGGCACTGTTTACATCGAGCCAAATTAAAATAGGAGATTAATTTCTCCCAATACAAGTCAGTGCGTAGCAAACTCCCACTCCCATGGGTTCTCTTTGCCTTTTGGCAGCGATTCTCAAAGGACTGACGCGTTTTATCTGAGTTGATTCTGGAACTGGAACAGTTTGAGTTGGCACATTCGCCCGAGCTCTG